ATGCTGAGCCACCATCTGATATTTAACTATATTGCATCATTACCCTTTCCAGCCTTGTCTGAAAATGCTGTCTTGGCAGTGTGTCTGCATTTAGTTAGTCTTGCTCTTGCTTTTCCAAGATGGAAAGAAATGTGTTCTGGAGCATCTTTGGAAGTAAACTCACAGTGCTGTCAGGTAACCTTGCTGTGGTTTTTCAGTCCTCGCAGGTATTTCATTCTGTCATCTCAAATGGCTCTGCACCCAGAATACCGGTCCGAGTTGGAAGCTCTTCAAGCTGAGAATGGAGAATCAGTGCTGATCCTAGACAAATGTACCAATCTGTCAGATGGGATCCCTGCTCTTCGCAAACGCTGTCACAAGAATCAAGTCTTTGATTATCCTCAAGTGCTTCAGGTAAGGCTGGTTCTCCTGCACACTTCTCTTCCCCTTAGTGACTATCTCAGCTGTGGAGCTGTTCCTGGTTAGCACTGGTAAGGTACTTGCTGGTATTTAGTTCGCTTGCTGGCTGTATTTTGAAACTGCAGAATTCATTGTGATAGCTTGGATATTATATCCTAACTTTATTCTTATTTTTAAGAGGGCAAAGAACTCTGTACTCAAACTGATATGCAGACCATGCTGCAATTTGAGAACCCTACTTATGTACAACAACTTAATGAGATTGATCACAGTGGTCTTCTAGTAACACATGACAGTGCCATGTAAACTTGAAAATTGATACGGAGATACTGCCAAATCCATCAGCAATAGGAGGAGAAACTTTTGGATGCCAGACAAAATTGCTCACTTTAAAATTGGGGAAGAACATTGGAATCTACACCCTCCAGAATAACTGGCAAAATTACCTTCAGCAGGCATTAATTTGGAATTGATTTCTCATGTATGACAGTCCAGGCCTTGCTAGATGAAGCTTGAAACAGAGGATGGCTTTGTCAATTGGAGGGAAGATTAGGATGAACTTTAAAAAGCTTATGTATGGATTTCTTTGGGGACAAAAAAAGAGTGCTACATTTAAGGAGAGTCGCTCAGATTATATTTTCTGCGTGCAACTTAGTAGTTAAAATCTACAAAATTATCTGTATAGATATGACAGACTAAGCTAGAAGACTTGTCAGCGTGCAGCTATGAAAACATCTAGGTGAAATGTGTTTCATGGCCTTGGCCCAACTTCCAGAGATCTTTTGATGTGTCAGTGAAGATAAAACTAGATAGCGTTCTCAGACCCCTGTGTCTCTTGGCAATTCACTGACAGAGAGGTGCTTTGGCGTGCAGTGTGATGAAGTGAGTTATGCCACAGGCCACTGTGCTCTGGCTGTGGCCACCGGCGCATAATCTGTCTTTGAACTTCAGCAAATGATGATAAAATAACAAACAAGCTGAGGAAAGGCAAAGTTTCCACCCCTCCTGTTATGTTTTGTAGGAAATCTGTTTAAAATCCCTTGTGGAGGAGGGGAAGAGGGAGGAAAGGGTCACCCTGAGTCCTAAACTTTCAACCAAAAGGAAAAAAAAATAGTATTATTTGCTTGCTTTCTTTAAATACGGGCTGGATTGCTCAAGGAGAGCAAGTCAGGGAATCTATATCTATATCTTGCTAGATATGATTTTATAACTCAAAAGAGAGCTGGCACATGCTGAGATTGTTAAAATACTTTCCTTTGCAGAGCCCTGCATCTCCCTTTGGAATGTCTGGCTGATAACAGTGGTGATGTGAGGAGATGTATTTATAGTAACCTTTGTCTAGACAGGAAAAATGGTTATCTGGGCAGATGAGCATGTGTGTCCACATCTGGGCTTCTTATTTTTTTCCTCTCCCAGACCTTCCTAGAGTTTCTTCCACCTGCTGCTGTGTGATCTAGTGAGTCAATGGTTAAAATGTGTGTTCATTCTCCATCCCTGCACCCTTCTTTTCCTTCTCTTCCTGTCTGAGAGTGGGGGAAGGGGGGCTGCGATCACAGTTCATCCTTTCCAGTGCTGCTTTTACAAACTTCTACTAGACAGGCTCTTAGGCTTCTGGGTTGCTAATGCTTCCTGTTTGCAGTCTTCTCTTGGATGAGAGTTTCAAGGCTTTTACTACTGTATGGGTATGAGCACAGGTCTTAGAATTGCATTAGGAAACAAGTGAAGAACCAGCAAACCCCCTTGTATTTCCTAGTTCCATTTGGATGTTTTGCTGCCCTGCTGAGTCTCCTGTCTCCTTCTCCTCAGGCCACAGAACAGCAGCTGGAAAGATGCTCTCTTATCTGTGAGAGCCCCTGTATTAACTTGCTAATTTTTCTTTTTTAGACTTGGGGAAAATACTGACTTGGGCTTTTTCCTTGTTTGTGTAGCTGAACTCTACAAGCGTTTATTTTATGATCTTGTAGCAAGATTCCTCAGTGGCAGTGAGAAGCAAAGTCCCTGTTGACAGAGTGAGTGCAGCATAGTCAAGAAGTCTTCTCTGCTGCAGTTTAAACTCACAGCTTTTTGTCTTGTGTGTTTTTGGGCATAAGTGAATTATATTCTTCCTTTTTGAAACAAGTTTTTTATATTTTTGAAGCTCCCTTTAACCATCTTTCTCCTGCCCTCATTCCTTCAAAATAAGTAGTAATGATATTGTCAGACTTTCCTTGTAGATCATACTTTCAAGGTAAGTAATAATCCTTTTTAACCCCTGGAAGTGCATTGCCCAAGACTGAACACACTGCTATGTCTGAGGTCTTTTATTCCTGAAAAGAATGGGTGACTCCTTCAGGTCTCTTAGATTGTACTGGGTTTGTTTTTTTGCATTCTAATACAACTTGTGGGTGGAGTGGTTTGTTTTTTCCACAGCACAACGTTGCTGACATGTGAATACCCTGTCTTTGCCTGTCCTTTTGTAGGAAATGTCCTCTTCTCCAAATTGCAAACCCTAGCCACTTACTTCATGCTTTTTATTTGTGCCTTTGCTTGTTTTTTATCTAAGTGCTGAACCCAATAAGTATTGTTATTTTTTCAGTCAGTTTATCCATAAAGTGTCCAACTCCAATCCTGTTATCTGTTACACTTGCTAATCCTGCAGAATCATAGGTATTGTCAGATCTAGTAATTATGGTCTTAATTCTGCTACTTACTTAACGAAGGGACACGCTGAATACTGTGGCACCTGGGAAAGATTATTTGGTCCATCACGTTTTTACCTGTGAGCCACTGCTAACTGCTTTATACTTAGAGTTCTGTAACTATAATTTATGTAACTATAAAGCCTATGAAGGCTTTATCTAGCCCATGATTTCTTAATTTGCTTGTGAGAATGCTATCACAGATGTCAAATGCCTTTTAAAGTTGAGATACAAAATCAGTTACTTCTCTGCTATCTGTAAAGCTGGATTGCACTATAATGGAAGAAAATTGGGTTGGATTCATACAGTTTGTACTCAAGTTCATGTTGATTCATGAACAGTAAGTTCATTGTTCATCATCTTGTTATGCCAAACTTTCAAAATGTTTAACTTATTTTTTTGTCTTGAATTTTCTCAATTAGAATTCTGAAGTTTGGCCATTAAAATAAAGCATCAAGTAGTCCCATTAGCTGATTTCTTATCTCTCCACTTATGATACTTTTAAGCCTCTGGAAGATAAAGTTGCATAATTATTTTGAATTAGCTAGTAATTAAGAATACACTGGTTGCATGAAGTAAGCCTGTTTTCCTTTTGACTTGTTTTTTTTATGAAGGGGAGGGCAGGAAAGCATAATGCATATATACATGTGCACACACACACACACATATAATACAAATATAACATTTCCTTTTTTTTTTCCTCATCTGTGATACCATTTGTTGACAGGAGTCTACATTCTGTGTCGTCCTACGTGGAGCCCGCCTGGGACAGGCTGTGCTGAGTGATGTTCTCCAAGCTGGCTGTGTCCCAGTCATCATTGCTGACTCCTACATTTTACCTTTCTCTGAGGTTCTGGACTGGAAGAGGTTTGTACCCTCACTGTCATATATCAAACCACTGAATAAGAGACTTCATTGCATTCAGTGGTTTGAATAAAGTCTGAGTGATAAGTGTATGGGGGGGTTCCAGGGAATAGAATACAAAGTAAGATACATGCAATACATGTAAGATACAAAGTCTTTGCCCTCTATGTATTATGCATCAAAAACAGAAAGAGAAAACAGACGAGACAGAGATAGAACAATTGGTTCTCCTACAGCTGATTGTATTTTTCTAAACCAGACTTGGTTTATTATCTTGTGCTTGAATTCAGTGAGGACTGGTCTGCGTTCTGTCCCTTCTAAGGAAAGTATATGCTAAAAATTTCATCACATAAATGCTACATTCTCTATATTGGATCCTGATTCTTAAGTTCAGCTGAGACTGGGAGGTGTAATTATTTTGTAGCTGAGCAGACTGTGTTAAGAGCTTAGATTATTTTTCAGTGTGTGCACTATGCCTGGTTACATGATCCTAGGATAACATCTACAAAAATTACTAGTTTGTATACGTAGCTCTGTGTGTGCTATTACTGTTTGGTCGCTCCAAAAGATGTCAGCTGACAGCAAGTCAGTGGCAATCCAGAGGTGAGAATTCAGGATTTCTGGGTCTCTGTCCCTTCTGTGTTTATTAGGTTGTCTGTACAGATCAGTCCACAGACTTTTGTGGCATTATCTGTGGGCAGACAGGCTGGTGTTGTGAAGGAACTGCTACAGAGTAATTAGTTACACTGAGAGAAGGCTGCTTCTTTCTGCTGGTATCTTCTGAATGTGTTTTATTAGAACTGGACAAGATTCTGGGTTGGAAAAGCTATTGACAGCTTTTAATGTAGAACTTCTTTCTTCCTGTTTTAACACTTGTTTTCTGTTTTTTCATTTGCAGAGCCTCTGTTGTCATCCCTGAAGAAAAGATGCCTGAGATGTACAGTATTCTGCAAAGTGTCCCCCAGCGACAGATCGAAGAGATGCAAAGACAGGTAAAATAATGTACTGTGTTTAAATTCTTTTCCTTTATTTATGGTTGGAGTGTAGGTTTGTACACCTGCCTTCCTGTGAAATCTCTTGGAATGCAGAAGCATCCATTGTACTCTCATGGTAGTATTTTGATTATTTAACCTTCTTTCTTTCTTTATGTTAAACATACACATTCACCATTCTTTTTCAACGTTGTGTCTCTACCCATCACTGGTGTAGCAGCTAAATTTGTTGAACAGCAGCTGTTGATCAGAACTACATCACCCATCAGGTCAGGAAGTTAAGGATATTGCATATGATTGTGGTTGTGGAAGAACACATTAATAGGCAGACTTCAGTTATTCAGCGTGGATTTTCTCCAACCTGCTATGTTAATGTACATGCTGTTGTGAAATATATTATAGAATCTTTAGAATTCCCAGTGATCAATCCCCCCCCGTCCTGGGTTGTAGGAGATCTCCTGAAATGTGAAATTGAGGTTTTGACTATCTGCTTCTTCGTGTAAAGATCCTGTGGTATTTGCCTTGCATGGAGACTACCAGTTTCCACCAGTGTAGTCAAGCTCCACTTTCTTTAATTTCACTTTTTCTTGTGTCCCCTCTGCTTTGTTAACTCAGCCTGGGGTGGAAGCTCTCCCTGAATGCAGGCATACTGCTACTCTCATATATTAATATATTTCTGATGAAATCAGAGTGTATATTTGTTTCTTTCTTTCTACATGGTATTTAAATTGTATTGAAGAAGAAGTTCAAGAGTCTGGCTTCATTTCAAGAGAAGCTTTGATTTTTAGATCCATTTTAATCACTCAAAATGTGAGGAAAGCGTTAAGTTGAAAATGTTTAAAATATTTTAACTAAGTTGACAGTTCCTCTGAGTGAGAAATTTTACTTATTTGGTGACTGGAAGAGTTGAGGTCGTGAACTATCCAAACTTGTGAATGAAGTCTGTGTTGGCTGGGTATATAGTCAAAAGGAAATGTCTTCTAGTTTACTCTAATTGATGTCAATTCCCAATCATTAGTTTTGCTGTTATGGACACTAGCATCGTTAGTTGCTTTAATTTTCATAGAATGGTTTGGGTTGGAAGGGACCTTAAAGATCATCTAGTTCCAACCCCAATTTTAGAGCTGACACATAAAATGCAAGCTCAACAGATGAGGACTGTTAGCTGTATGAGGATTTTCACAAAAGGTGGAGAGTTTTGTTGTCAGATTAGGGGGTAGGATTCAACCACGTTCTTCTTCTGGTGGTTGGAATACACAGATTATATTTTTGAGCCAGCAAAGAGGTAAGATGTTAACATACATTGTGAACTTGTATGTAGGATGTTTCATCGTTGTTACCTTATTGTACCTGAGCATATATTGTTATGAGGTAAGGACGTACTTTTGTTATTGTTTTTCCTGATGAGGAACTGAGGCACAGAGAAAGTAAGAGGTAGGTATGTAAAGGAAAAGTAAACTGTCTGATCTCAGGTGGCTTTTGAATATTCATGGGATTTCTGTAGTCAAATTTCTGCAAGAATTGTGAAAGCATGTTTCTGAAATTCCCTTACCCAGCCTTAGGGAGAAAGTCATCTTTTGTGTGGTCCTTGTAAAAAAAGTGACCCAAAGGATGTTTCTTTTCAGGGTACAGCCTACAACATTCTGGTTATTTCTACCTAGACAGTGAGTCATAGAATTTATAGAATGTTGTGAGCTGGAAGGGACCCACAAGGATCATGGAGTCCAACTCCTGTCCCTGCACAGGACAAGCCCAACATTCAGACCATGTCCCTGAGGGCCTTGGCCAAATGCTGCTGGAATCTTGTCAGGCTTGGTGCCATGAGCACCTCCCTGGGGAGCCTGTTCCAGTGCTCCACCACCCTCTGCCTCAAGAACCTTTTCCTCATGGCCAACCTCACCCTCCCCTGCCACATCTTCCTGCCATTCCCTCTGCTCCTGGCATTCGTTGGTGGCCAGAGAGAAGAGATCAGTGCCTGCCCCTCCTCTTCCCCTTGGGAGGAAGTTCTAGACCATGATGAGATCTCCTCTCAGTCTCCTCTTCTCCAGGCTGAACAATCCCAGCAACTTCAGCCTCTCCTCATACCCTTCCCCTCTAAACCCTTCCCCAGTGTTGTGTCCCTCCTCTGGACACTCTCCAGGAGCTTTAGATCCTTTTTATCCCGTGGTGCCCAAACTGGGGGCAGTGCTGGAGGTGAGGCCGCCCCAGTGCAGAGCAGAGCGGGACCATCCCCTCCCTGGCCTGGCTCGCAGTGCAGTGCTGGATGCACCCCTTTGCATCAGGCTAAAAGCTGCACAGAGTATATTAATACTGGGTATGTGTGGAGAAAGCAGACTCTTAAATTTAATTTAGCAGTAAAGATCTTTTCACACCTGAATTCTGTTGCCAGCTTCACTTCATTCTCTGTACAGAGAGTCTGCAAATATCCCAGCAGCCATCAGGGGTCTCCTTTCTCTTTAGTCCCTTCACAGAAATGACCCATTTTGGTGGGGCCCATCTCAGCACCAGCAAGGGATGGCAGGTGATAAAATAGCTTTACTGTTACAGCTCCTAACGACGTGGTTTTGCTTTATTTTCTTTTTTTCTCTGACATGAACATGGAGATGGTAACACGTTTGCCTAGGAAGGCTTTAAAACTGACATGAATAATCTGTTAAAAGTTGAGTGTTGATTTTTCTTGTTGTCCATTTTACTAATATCATAAAATAATAATTTCAGGATGGTGTTCTACAGAGAATGCACTTGATGTTATGGACAGCTTAAACAGTAATTTTAAAGTATGAAGTCAGGAAACAACTCTAGTTTGTTAAAAAAAAACAAACCGGAAAACAAGAACAACACAAAAAACCAAACCAAAATCAAAACCAACCAACCAAAAAAAAAACCCCTAAACATTTACAGTGAAACAAACCAACAAACCCCCCCTTAATTCAGATGATCTATAAGTTATCTGTAAATATTATCTATAACTCTGTAAAATCAAGTTAAAGATATTTTAATACCCAGAATGCAGTTCTAGTCTGTGTCTGGAGTGAATTTTGCTGGATGATAGATGGTTTGTGGTAATCATAGTCATCGGGTCCAAAGCATTGCTGATTGCATCGGAAACTGTCATTCTGTTGACTGAAGATGAGAAGTGAGTTTTTTCTAAAGCCTTCCTCTCAAACCTTGATGCTTTTGTTGCAGATAGTTGTGTTTGGTTTTGGGTAGTAAGAGTATCAGGATGAAATCACAAGGTCTGTCTTTCTCTTGTCTTTATGAATTTATTTCTATCTGCGTATTGAGGCTACTTTAAACGTGTTATCCATACTCATTTCATGTCCTGTCAGCCTTATTTACAAGGTGAAGTCCCAGTGTAAGCATCTGTGAAATTCCCTCACTAGCTATCTGATATAGTGCACAAAGACTTAGTGGCTGATATTGTGTGGACTGCCAATAACATGATTGCTTTTCCTCATTGATAAATACACACAAATATTCCACCTGTGTTCCAGATTCTTGTTTCGTTCCTCCTCATCAGTCTCACAGTAGGGAGCAGTTGCACACTTGACTTGCTGTCTCTCAATTTAAATGGTTTGGGGAAAGATCTGAGGACTTTTTGGCTAAGCAAAATGCCTTCCCAGTTTTGTTCAGTGTCTTCACTTCAGCAACAAGGTACAGGAATCGATGAATAAAGTTTCATAAAATAAGGCTGAAGTGATGAGAAGAGAGAATTTGAAGCTGGAAGGAACCTTTTGAGGAGACTGATGCTAAGGGTACTTCAGAAGCAGAGTGAATTTGTCACAAGTGCTTCATTTTGTTTGTCAGGCAAGGAATTACTAAAATTAAACTCAATACCTGTTTATAGAATGAATCTCCAAGTGAACTGGAGTGATTTATACATGTTTTCAGATGTGATCTATAGCAGCTGTTTATTCTGCTTAGCCATGGAAGGGCAACAAAAGCTTCAAAATATTCTGGATTTGCAAGTAACCCCTATTTCTCAATAATATTTAAACCACTTCCCTTTACTGCATCAACTTCCAAGTGCTAGTAACACTTGATATACAACATTTTGATGGTTGTTTTTTGTCAAGTGGAAGGAGACTGACTGAAACTGATCTTGTGGTATGTTTGTGTTTTTTTTCAGTCCATTCTAGTTTTCACCAAGCACTGCTCTTATCGAGATGGAAACAAAGACAGTTAGATCACAATGATCATGTTCTTTCTTGTTTTTATGTTGTGAAACACTTGGAGTTTGATTTAACAGTTACAAAAAGATTGGACCACAACTGATGTTAAAATGAGAGAAAAGTGCTCTTTGCTTCTATTAAAATTGGTATGAAAATTGCTTCACAACATCTCACTGTTTCCTTTGCGGTTAGGATGTGTTTAGGTTTTATTTAAAAAAACTGTTTTTCTTGCACAAAAAATTCCACCAGGGAAGACAATAAGTTTTTGATAAAGACTCGTGAAACATGCTTTGCCAGTGCCTGCCAGTTAACATACTTTTTAAGTAAATTAAGAAACCAGTGGACATATTCTGACATGAATATGGTTGAGATCATCCGTTTTTTAGCCAAATGGAACAAATTCTTGCTCCACATTTCTGCTGGTTTCTAGTAGGATTTCTAGATGCATTCATCCTACCTATCAGACTCTGGGTCTGATAACCTTTGGGGGATTGGAGGCCTGCTGTCCAACTACTTTGGTTTCAGTGCTTGAATATGACATAATTCTTACCCCTAGTTAGAAAACATCATAATTTAAACAGATTTTATTGTAAATATTAGCTTGCCAGTTTTCTTTGCTGATTAGGTGTTCTTTTTGCAGTATTTTATTGCAGTTGATTCTCTGGAGACCATGCATGAAGGTTAAAAAATACTTGTATATATACAAAAACATATGTATACACACATATATATGTATATATAATTTTTTTCATGTTGAAATAGATTGCTTTTAATGAGTAAATTTTTCTCTACGCTTAATTTTTGCTTTGTTTCTGGAAGTCCTTCTAG